TCTTTTTTGCTCTTTTTCTTTCTCGCTTCTTGGTACACTTTCTTCAGAAGAATGCCTCCCTATTTATAGGGAGAAAAGATGCTCAAGTTGTTAACCTGCTCAAATTTTTAATTAGGTTGGCACCGCAACACTTCAACAATGGCACATCAACCAAGATTTAAATTTTTTCTTCAAATTTGGTTTTGTTTGTTTGTGTTTGGCAGGATTCCTTCATGTGGCTGGACCCCACAACTAGAGCCAGATGGCGTTTCGCTCTTATAAAACACACTGTAGCTGCGTAGGTTTACCAACAACATAATGAGATTATCAATTTTAAAAAAAGGAATAATATAAAATTGTCTTTTGCCATATTATTTGAATTTTCCAAATTTGTTTGGAAATCAAGATATTTCCAAGTAAGTGTTCATTTTTTCGATCCCTTATTAATCATTTGCAATCACTTTAATGCGGATTACTTTCATTCCTTTTTTTTTTTACTAGTGTCGTACCCGTGCGATGCACGACTAGTTTTATTATGGTAAGCAGTTAAATTTGGATGATTGGAAGAACGTAAAATACATATATTGAAATGAAACACAATGTAACGTTATATATTATTAAACACATCAATGTACACAAAATTATTTGTTTGTTCTTTTGGTACATCGTCTATCGCCACAAATTAAATTAAGCTTGTAGATAGTCTTAAATAAATCGATTAAATTATTTAGCAGAATATATACGATATTTTGTAAGTGTATGAAATCATTATTTATTTTGTAAGTGTATGAAATCATTATTTATTTTGTAAGTGTATTCAATCAATTTCAAATTTGTATCTAGATAATTAAACAATGCCCAAATTTTTAGGATGTCACAATTCCATTTCATTTTTAATTTCAAATTAATATTATATGACTTTGTTCTATATTTAAAAAAAGTCCGAATGAAAGAAAGTAGTAATCAAATGATAAAAGATTTTTAAATTTTAATTTGAAATTTGGCCCCATTTTTATGTAATTCGATTTTTTTTAATAAACATGATCTGCTACAATTAGGTAAAGATACATGTTATAGTATTTTGTCTAATTCAAAATTCTCGATTGTATGGTAAACAGATTTTTTTAATAAAAAAATGAAAGAATTTTGACTTTTACAAAATTGTCATGCCGACTATGCAATCCGATTTTTATAATAAATAATTGATTTGTTGCAATTAGTAAAAGATATATGTGATAGTATTTTGTCTAATTCGAAATTATTGATTTTATTTTAGTCAGTTTTTTTTAATAAAAATAGAGAAAGAAAATTGACTTTTGCATCAGTCGAAATTTACCTAAATTAAATCCACAAAATATATAAATTTAGGGTGCATATTAAAAAAAAAAAATTGTTGTACCATTTCAAGATTAAATCAACCGTAATCAGTTTTTATTAAAATATAATAGTTTCCAAACAAAACACTTTAATTAGCAAAAAATTTATGGTATGTAATATTGTTTATTTAAGGTAGCACAATTTTTTGAAAGAAAAGTAACAAATACCATAATTTTAGGGTAGTGTTTAATGCTGATTGTTTTGAAAAAAAAAAGAAGTTACTAAGTGTGAAATGTAATTAATGCTAATTGAGATTTGACCAGAATTTGACCTACTATTTTTAAAAAATGGTAATTCTTTTTATACATACTAGTATGTACCCCGTGCGATGCACGAGACAGAAATATTAAATGAGTTATTTTCACATACTTTGTCCGTTTAAGTATATAAAGCAATAGGATTATCATCTATTTTTCATCTCTTTTAATCAGCGTTAAGTATAATAAACAATATGATATTTTGCACCTCTTTTAATCAACGTTATTTCTTTAGTCAAAATATTAAAATAATTAATATATTATTTCACTAACACATTTATCCTAATTTAAATTTGATTTTAGTATATATATATTCCTTGATATAAGAGAGAATAACAATATTCTTGTTCATCATATAATACTTAATTATTATTTTGTTATACACTTTATGTCATATAATGTCATTATTATTTATAAAGTTATAGAAGTTGTA